CGCATCATCCCCAGGCACCTCCAGCTGGCCGTGCGCAACGACGAGGAACTCAACAAGCTGCTGGGAAGGGTGACCATCGCTCAGGGTGGGGTGCTACCTAATATCCAGGCCGTGCTGCTGCCCAAGAAAACCGCCACTGGGGGCGCCACTAAAAAGTGAAGAGACCGTTATTTCGTCTGACAACCCAAAGGCTCTTTTCAGAGCCACCCACAACATCAGTGAAAAGCAGCTAGACCATCCCCTCTGTCGGAATGTCTTTTTCTGCATTCATTGTTTGATGTCCGTTTCAGTCGTTTTGTTATTTGATACTCTTACTGTCACTGTGTGTATGATCTAACATGAAATCTTTACTAACAGGATGCAGTCAGTCACGTTCACGGAACAGCTGAAACGTATGGAGAGTGAAACGTTTATCACGAATTTATAATGAATCGCAATTGTAATAGCGTTCGCATTGCGTTATTTGTTATTGCTCTGGAACTGCCTGTGACTTTAATCATCGTCATATAAATGCATCTGTGCCTCGCTCACAACCTGTTTCATTTTTCCTGTAACTGCATTTGAGAAGAGCTAAAATGACCCAATGCATCAAGTAGTAAGTACGAGATAACAGTGTGGAGCTGGTGGAGCACAGTAGGCCAGGCAGCAGAAAAGCTGACTTTTCGGGTCAGGACCCTTTGTCTGAAAAAGTCAACTTTCCTGCTTCTCTGCTGCCTGGCCTGTTGTGTTCCTCGAGCTCCACATTGTGTTATCTCAACATCCTGGTAAATCTTTTCTGAAGCTCCTCCAGTGCAATAATATCCTTCTTTAACAGGGTGACCAGAACCTGATATAGTGCTTCAGTAAAAGCACTAGTCAAAACCATGCTGACTATCCCTAACCATTCTCTGAAAACCCCCACCTACCCCATACATATGAATCGTATCTTTTGGAATCACCTCCAACAATGTACCCATCACATAATTCAGACTCACAGGCCTATACTTAGTAAACTTCTCCCTGCATCCCTTCTTGAAAATAAAGGCACATTAGCCTACCTCCAGTCATGCCGCACCTCACTATAATTATAGATGGTACAAACATTACTGCAAGGGTTTCTGCAATTTCCTTCTTAACTTCCTACAATATTCTCAATACAGTATATCAGATGCTGGACATTTATTCAACTCTATGCTTTCTAAGACCTCCAACGTGTCCTCTTGTGTAATATGAACTGTTTTCAAAATATCAATATTTATTTCTCAAGTTCTGTAGCTTCTATTTCTCTCCCCCAACAATTTTATTTGTGAAATATTTGTTTTCTATTCCTCCTGTCTTCCCAGTTTCAAAACTCAAATAGATAGCCTTTGTATTAAGAGCTCCACTCTTTCTCTCTAATCACTCGCTTGCTTTTAATGATCTTGCAGAATCTCTTTGGATTATCCTAAACTTTAACACCAAAGCTATCTTGAATCCCCTCGTTGCTTTCCTGATCTCTTCAGAATGCCCCGACACTCCATAGTGCTCTCTCACTTTCACATCAGTAACTCGCCCTGCCGTATTACCGATGAAAAGGTCATTTTTCCTCCTGTCTCTACACTCATTTGAACCCAGTTGTCTCTATCTAATACGATTTCTTTTGTATTCCCAACAAGAACCTCAATATCTTTATTAATCCATTGTTCCTTTATCCTGCCAGCTTACCTTTTACTCTAAGACGATCATATTAACTCTAAGACGATCATATTAACTCTGAACTTTCATATGACACTTGTGAATGCCTACCACTTATCAGACATTCCCTTACCTGTGAACACTCTACTACCACTGGGTGGTACAGTAGTTAGAACTTCAGAGCGCCAGGGACCCGGGTGCGATTCCAGCTTTGGGCGACTGTCTGCATGAGAGTTTGCACATTCTCCCCATGTCTGCGTGGGTTTCCTCCAGGTGCTCTGGTTTCCTCCCACGGTCCAAAGATGTGCAGGGTAGGTGGATTGGCCAAGCTAAAATTGCCCATTGTGCCCAGGGATATTTAGGTTAGGTGGGTTAGATAGGGGAATGGGTCTGAGTGGGATGCTCTTGGAGGACGGTGTGGACTTGTCGGGCCAAATTGCTGTTTCCACACTATAGGGATTCTATTGTATGACTTTTGAAAGTTGTTGTCTCATACCATTAATATTTGCCTTACTTCAATTAAAAATTTTGACTTCCAAGTAAGTATTATCTTTTTCATAACTAGCTTAAAGCTAATAAAATTACCATCATAGACCCAAAGTGTTCCTGCACTATCACATCAATCACTAGCCCTGCCCTATTACTGAAGAAAACGTTTTTTTTCCCTGTCTCGACCAAGAATATTTACATGTTAAAGAAAACTTTCTTGAACACAATTAGCAAGTTCTTCACTATCCAAACCTTTGACACGAGTGTAGTCCCACTCAACCTTTGGAAAATTAAAATAACCTATTACAACATTATTATCCTTACTTATGTCTGAGATGTCTCTACATATATGTTCGTCAATGTCCATCTGACTATTCTGGGGCCTATTAATACAATCTCAGCAAGGTGATCTTTCCACTCCTTTTTCTAATTTCAACCCACATATTTTCACTGGACAACTGTTAAGAAATATCTTCAATAGTTACAGCAGTAAAGTGTAAGCTGGAATAAGGGAGGGAGACCTTAAAACTAATGAAAAGACGGTGTCCCTATCAATACATCGATCAGGAAGCACGATCAAATCAACTCGTTAAGTACACTTGCATTCTTCTGTGTAAAACCGCCTCCTGGTTTCTACATATTGGCGGGATTTTCAAATTTGTAAGAAAGCGTTTAACGATTTGGTGCCATTTTCCCCACCCTCCTTCTCAGCCATGGTCACAGTTATCAGAAAAAAAGAAACAGCAGATGCTGGAATCCAAGGTAAACAAACAGGAGGCTGAAAGTAGAGCTGGAGGAAAGGCCAAGGGAAGCAAAAAGCACAGAGGTTTTGTCGTGAATTTCTAATTTGCAGACAGGGATGCCGTACTTCAATTATTTTGTGACTAATTTAAACCTCAATTTATAATTAAAATACGCTTCTTGAGTTTTAATTTAAATAACACAAATGTATTAGTCCTACGCACTTGTGTTTTTTTTCAGCCAGATGCAGTTCCTGCAATTACAACTGAATTAGCCCGGTGCAATAACGGTAAGATATGGAAATATAACAACGAAACGCACATCATGCATCAGTTCCGTTCTTTTTGGATAGTTCAGTGGCTCTGAAAAGAGCCGTTGGGTTTCTCGGGGTTAACGTACAGGGCCAGGTACACTCTGTTTAAGCGCGCTCCCCGCGGATCCGGCGGGCTAGCTGGATGTCTTTGGGCATGATGGTGACTCGCTTGGCGTGGATGGC